CAATATTTTGCAGTCAAGGTTCTTTTGGTTGAATGGTACAGACACCCACTCAAACCAGCTAAGAGTAATTTATTAAGTATGCAGGGATATCTCCTGCAATACAAGGGCAGGTGGTACAATCCATGAGGAATAGAAACTGGAATATCATCAGGAAGCAAGGCAACTACTCTCCTTTCTCCTTGGGACCCAGTGATTTCTCTGTGCCCATTTTCTTCTTTTCTCTGCACACTGGCTTTTTAAACATTTGCATATACCTGGTACATAACCATCATCCCCTTGCCCCCTCTTTAGCCTTGCTCCTAAATTATCTCCCAGCTTCACAACATTGGTTCAGCTTCTGTCAGATGTCCATTCTTGTCATGTGTCAAGGAACCCATCCTTGTTGTTGGGGGCCAGTTTTCAGAGGGGTCCATGATGAGTAGGCACCCAAATAGTTGTATACTACAGCATATCTGCATCTCCTCTCTTGTAAAATGGGGAGACTATATTAAACAATAATAATAATGATGATGACTACATTATGTAATAACAACTAATATCAACTGAATTTTTATTCTGTTTCAAGCACTGGGCTAAGTAATTTGCAGACCTATTTTCGAAGCACTGTCTCATTAAACCTGGTAACAACCCTATGAGGCAGGAACTTTATTGCCCCATTTTATAGATGAAATAAATGAAGCACTAAGAGGTTAAGGAACTTGTTCAAGACGATCTGTAAAGTGCCTGTGTTCCAAAATGTTATGGTTTTTAACTAAATATCACAGTTTAAATAAACCTAACAGAGTAGCTTAAGATAATGAAAACAATATGAAAGTGTTCTTTATTTCTTAACTTCAGGACATTTCTTTCTAAAAGAAGAAAGCTATAGCTGAACAAAAATAGCTAAATATATAGCAATGATCAGATTAATTAAATTTAGGTTTTATCATTTAAAAATGGACAGAGCATGGTAATAATGACTGATGAAATAAAGTTGTTGTCAAAATAGTGAATCAGGCACCCAGAAAAGACATACATATATCTTTAAGTAGGAAAAAAGGAGTTTGTGGTTAGAAAGAAATGCCCCTCCCCACAAAGAAAAAAAAAAAAAAAAAGTGAGTTTCTCAAGTTTAGAAGACATAAGGAAACACTAGTTTTTGTTTTTTCTCTTACGAATGTGTTTCAATATTGTTCCACAGTATCAGTCATATTATGTTGATAGTGGGTTATGAGGCTCCAATCATGATACCATTTGAAAATGTTCAAATGTGTGCCCAAACTTTATAACCTCATTTCAAATGCAGCACAACTTGGTTTTAAAATGCAGCCTTTCCCAATGATAAGTAGAAAAGAATGGGAAAATGTTTTAATTAAGCAAAAATTTTTTAATTTTTATTTTCATACTGTATAATAAAAGTTTTCCATTACTGGAGGGAAATGATTAAAAAATCAGCAAAGCTTATACATGAGAAGTGAAGTGTCCTTCACAGTTTCAATGCCACATGCCCTTTTAGTAGATTTGATTAAAGAACCAAATTTCATTTTGCATCTAATAATCATAGTAAAAGGAAGTGTTTCTTATCATCTAGGATGAAAATTATTACCATGATAGAAAGGCAACAGTCATTAAATAAATTAAAAGCATCTTTATACATATATAATATAATATATATATATAATATATATATATATATTTAAATTGCCACTGACTGTACAAGCATTAAATTTTCAACTAAAACATTTACAGAAACTATTGGAAAGCTGAAGGGGAGGCTTTCTTCATTCTTTTTTTTTTTTTAAAGGGATCATTTACCTATAAGGCTACATTAAAGTACAGTTCTCAGGGGGAAAATCTATACAGAGAAGTCAGACCTATCCAAGATGTCTTATTTAATCTTACACAGCAGGTGTTCATAGCTATACCCTAACCCAATCGTGATTCAACAAGATGTCAAATTCCAGACATTAGTTACTTGTCAGAACAGAGTAAAGTAAAAGCAGAAAGTCTACACTGAATAATGTAATTATATTGAAACATTTCTATAAGTCAGAATGATAATAGCATTACACACATGATTGCCTATGAAAATAGTAAATGGCCAATATGAGTTTTATTCAGAAATATTAAGATAAAATATCTTAATGAATAAATGATCATCAGTTAATATAAAGCTAAATGAATGCAAACATTTCTCTGGAATATTACAGTCCTCAGATCTGGGGAATTTAATCTTCCAGTTTAAATTTTATGACCCCAAATCCTGTAAATTATATATTTACACAGGTTATAGCAAAACACTTTTAAAATACTATATTGACATCGACAGCTCCTGAATTTGAATTCAAAAGAAGAGTTTTTGAAAAAAAAAAAAAATCCCTTTTTAAAATTAAGACTGTGCTTATATCTGAGTGTGCTGAGGTTCCACATCTGAGATGGAAAAGGGAGGGTTGGGGAGAGAGAGAGAGAGAGATGTATGACTTAGGAAATGGCATTTATAAATGTTGTTTCTCTTCTCATTAATGTCAGTTTAATATCACGAGATTTCTAGAAAGTCTGTCTAGGAATTATATAGAGGCGAGTACCTAAGAAATTGTGAAACAGGCATTTACTCCACTTTCCAACTATTTAAAATAAATTTTTCTTAGATTAGAATATTAGCTAATTTTTAAACTCATTTTTTCTTTGGGAATAAAACCTTCCCCGTTTATACCATAATATGTCCTCAACGTAGTAAAGAAATGACTGTTACAAGGTCACCCAGAAATAACCACTGGCCAGAAACCATTTCAATTGTTAAGAAGACTATCCAAGCTCTTTCACTGTGCTATAAATTGGTCATTATCAATTGCTACTTAAAATCTTAATTAGGAGGTGCTGGGACATTTTTATTAATTAGAGGGTTTTGGGACTATTGTAAGATTTAATCTATAATAAGTGAGTATTGATTCAAATTAAGAAAGATAACAAACAGCCATCTGTGTTTAAAGCCTGAGAATCATTACTGGATATTACTAGAGGTTTTGACTGCTACATCTTCAGAAAAAATTAAGAATTTCATCAAACCTACCAACGAAAACGAAGTTTGCTTTAGAGAAAGACAGTATGACCAGGATACAGTAGCCATGCTTTGGCCCACTTCTATTATATAACTTTGCTTTGAAATTTTTAATAAGATTTATTAAAAAATTATTTCATCACTCACCTCATTATGAATCTTTAACTTTGTGCTCTCAGAAAAAAAAAAAAAAAGGACTATAAGAATCCACAGAAACTCAGGTACCAGAACATAATTCATTATGTTTTGTTTCATTCACAGGGTTAACACACAACCACCCCAACCTTTGTGTACTCCAAAGTTACCAGAGAACTTTTTTTCCATGGTTACTCTTCTTTTGAGGGAATTTCAGTAACAGAGAAATACCATTCAAACCACAATGAATGACATATTCTTGTACCAAACGCTGAAATACAGGATGTGTCTGCATTTGGTTTATGAACAGAGACACCTGCAGTGTTTTCGGATCTATCACTACCACCTCTTCAAGGAAGATATATAAATGAAATGCTGGTGTTATAAACCTAAACTTCCAGTTGCCTGAAGGAGCCTTATGGTTCAATCTGCAAATCTCGTCATTTTTCCAGTGAAGACACTAAGGATGCATAGTTAACACAGTGCCTTTTACAAAATAGATGCTCAATAAATATTTATTAAATGACTGAACTGCCACAGATAGCTACATGCAGAGACAGGACAAAATCCCATGTCTTCTGATACTTCACAGCCTCTGAAATGTTTAGTTGTCTCTAAGCATCAGGTGGAACTGAACTAAGACTCGGATTATGGTAACCGCAAATAGAACATCAAGAACAATCCATGGTCTGACAACACTTCTTTCGCAAAGTTAAGTACAGTGAGTGAAAGATTTCTGAAACAATTTTCACGGGCAAAAATATAACAGGAGATACTTACGTAAACAGAAATGGAAAAGAAAAAGTGTGTCTCTATATTTGGCTCCATTTTCTGGTAGATAATTTTTAGTGAGCTCTGCTGAAGTCTAGATTTCATGATTAAGCCAAACGCCCCAATCCGTGTGACAAAGTATATGGACCTGGATGTGGCTGAAGAATGTGACTGGGATTAAATTGGTAATTTAAAGAAATCCCTAATATTCCAGCAGTTTTTCAGCCTTTACGTTTATTGATAACTTCATAGGATGTAAGGTCATACCAAGAGAACTGAAAAATTAATGGCCTCAGGAAGGATTTTTGGATTCAAGTTAGAAGAACAAATCTAAGTACTTGTTTAAATAAAGTATAGGAGAGGAATTACATCTGGGTTTTTGAAAACTGGATTGCTGGGAGGAAAAGAAATGAAAACAACTGTATTTCCAATTAAAGTGCTAGGTCAAGTGGTAACTCTCTGTATAGGCTCTTGAATCACTCTGTCACTTTTGGTAAAGTTCTCATAATCAAATGGTACTTGCCAGCATATGAACTAAAAAAGAATCCTGTGCAGACTCAGTTAAAAAGCCATGTTAAGCAAACCTTCCTATATAGGGCATAGGCACCTGGCACACGTACACACACACACACACACATACACACACACATACACCTAACACACAGCACACACTCTCCACTCAACTATCACACATTGACATGTGGAGGAAAACATGGGTAAACAGGATTCTCAAAAACTTTTAAGAGGAATATCAAAGTCAATTGGATTATTTAGCACTCGCTGAATTGCTCAGGAATCTAAGGCAATAAGCCTACTCCCAAATATGAAATTACTTTCAATTTCCCTTTAGTTGTTAGATGGGTAGGGATAAATGATAAGTGATTGCTTTGTCCCGATCTATTTTCAAAGCCCATTACAAAAATAAATCAGTGCGCTCTCTAGCAGTTCTAGAAACAGTTTGAGTGATAGTTTTTGTGTGATTAAAAAAAAAAGAAATAGATATCCATATTTAGCAAAATCTTGCTTTCAGTTACATTCAGAAAAAAAGAAAGTACACTTCTCCTTGGTGGAAATCTTCAGTCTATTGCTCATTCTCTTTAGACTAAAAAAAAAAAAAGAAAAAAGTCCATAAAAATAATGATTGAATTAAGCCTTCAGATGAGTTCTCTGTAAGGTTATCTGCAAGCACAAGACTCTACTGTCATGTTAGGATATACTTTCAGCACCACATTCTTATTTTCATCGAAGAATAAGATACTGAGTGAGGACATCTTTTCCGGCACACAGCAAGGCTCAGGAATCCCAGGAACAACTCCCACCGCTCTCACTATACTCTGGATGGTAGCATGATTTGACGGCTTCAAAGACTAGAAAAAGAAATGGGAGAAGGACATACATATCAGATGGAACTGCTTTTCCACTCCTTACCCCCTCATCACATAAAATGCTTCCATCATGAATGGATTTCGAATATTTAATAGTTGTTATGACAACCATTACACATTCAGCCCAATCGCCTATCCCGCCACCACCAAAATGGTTATCACTTATTAAGTGCCTGCTATACACCAGAGATGGTACACGTTGTGTCTAAAATCCTTATGACAAAATTGCCATTTCTTACATTTTATAGGTAAGGAAACAGACTCAAAAAGCTTAAATGACATGTCTAACGTCAAATAGCTAGTAAGTGGCAAAGTAAAGGATTTGAACCCAGGTCTCTAATAAAGAATAATTTAATTACAAACAGTTTATTGTACTCAGAACTAATCAGGGAGACTAATATATTCTAGAATGTTTTCATTAACAGGATATTGTTGAAAAATGATCTGTTCTTGGCCCTATGTTAATCATAACCAAAACCAAGCCTATTGCTGGCAAGTGGATTCTGACTTATAGTGACCCAACAGGACACAGTAGAACTGCCCCACAGGGTTTCCAAAGAGTGGCTGGTGGATTCAAACTGCTGACCTTTTGGTTAGCAGCCAAGCTCTTAACCACTATGCCACCATGGCTCCATGTTAATCATAAAGCATCCTGTTAGATAGTTGAATACTACTGTCACAGTGACATTTAGATTTAGTTGTTGAAACAAAAAAATCAAGTAGGTCAAAGGGGCATTGATTTGTTTAATAGCTGCCAAGGGATGAACTGGATGGTGATTATTCCACTATGTAATTACTCAACTCAGTAAGTCCAAACTGGGGTTAAGAAGACCACACCATTGACCACTGGGGGTCACTGTTGCTCCATGGGTTCAGACCTAAACTTGGTAGAATTATTTCCTCTACGAGTGGGTCAAATCTCCTGGGAATAGCCTAGCAGGGCCCCAGGTTATTCCATGGATGTCAGAAGTTTGACCATAGAAGCCTGGGTAAAATCTCTTCCCTAAGAAAATACCAAATGGGACCATTAACATCCGTATGAAACACATGGTTTTATTTAAAGAGTCCTATACAGCTCCACTCTATCTAAAAGTGTTGTAAGCCAGAATGTTCAGGTATTACTAAAGTGATAAGAACCACTTATTCATGAGAGATGCCAAATGTTTCAATACCAGGGTTTTTTCTGCCAATAGCTCCTTCAGGCAGGTGAAATTAGTTTTGTTTAAAGCACAGTGGGAAACAGAAGTTTGGTAACTTGCCCGAGATCACATGTGAATTCGGTAGTAGGATTTAGGCCAAAACTCTGGCTTTTCAATCTCAGGATTTTGAGCCATGATTGTCATGGCTCAGAGGCACCACTGCCCCAGTGAACTGGTATTTTAAATTTATACTCCTAAACTCCTAGCACGGGAAACTTGAAAAAGTTAAAAGGTTAAGTGTCCATACAAGCCAAGGGAGAAGAAAAGAATATAGAAGCTGGCATACTGTAAAAGAAGCCCTGGTGGTGCCGGTATTAAGAGGTCGGCTGCTAACCAAAAGGTCGGCAGTTCAAATCCACCAGCCACTCCTTGGAAACCCTATGGGACAGTTCTACTATGTCCTATAGGATCGCTATGAGTTGGAATCTACTTGATGGCAACAGGGTTTTTTGTTTTTTTTTTTTTTTAAAATACTGTAAAAAGTAGGATTCTTCTTGGCCAAAAAACGGGGGGGGGGGGATCTGATTTCTCTCATCATATCTTTCAATTTTAGTGAAAATTTATACATGAGTCCTCAACTTTATACTTAATAGGCATAAATCATTAAAAATTAATCTTAATGACTGACAACTGTATTTACTCTTTTTTTCTAGAGACTTTATATGCTAAAAAGAATAGCTAACTTTCAATTAATTAACTTTGTAAAGCAGAGCATTTTTCCCTTATGGAAAGGAAGTCTGTCCTATTTCTTTTATGTATCATGTGTCCTGTATCACCAATAAAATATGTGTAACTGACAAAAATTGCGATCAGTATGGGAGCCGTGGTGGCGCAGTGGGTAAGAGCTCAGGCTGTTAACCGAAAGGCTGGCAGTCCAAATCCACTCTTTGGAAACTCTATGGGGCAGTTCTATTCTGTCCTATTGGGTCGCTAGGAGTGGGAATTGACTTGATAGCAATGGGTTTGGCTTGGTTTTTTTTAGCAGTCAGTACTGTACAATAGAGACCAATTGCCTGTTTGCAATTTTATCAGAGTTTGTGGGTGGCGTAAACGGGTAAGTACTGTGCTACTAACCAAAAGTTTGGAGGTTCGAACCCTGAGGCACCTTGGAAGAAAAGCCTGGAGATTTGCTTCCAAAAGGTCACAGCCAAAAAAACCCTATGAAGTTCTACTCTGAAACTTATGAGGTCGCCATGAGTTGGAATCGACTCGATAGCAACTGCTTTACTGCTTTGTTTTTTGTTTACCAGTATAGTTAATTTCTAAAGAAAACTTTTGCAGCCATCCACTTTTCTCTGTTGATTTACAGTTATTCTTAAGACTCAATAATCCAAACAGCTTAGCATAAAGCCTGAAAGAATTTTTGAAGCCAGGTTTTATAGCAGTATTCCGCTATCATTAACATTTTAACGACTCCTATAATATTAAATTTTATACAAAGTGGATCTATGTAACTAGATGAGGCCATGAGTGATGAATATCACCATGCACTGCCAGCAAATCTGCTGCAAACACCTCTTTAAAGGGTTGAAAAACAAAGATGTCACCGTGAGGACCAAGGTGCGCCTGACCCAAGCCAGGGTGTTTTCAATTGCCTCATATGCATACGAAAGCTGGACGATGAATAAGGAAGACCAAAGAAGAATTGATGCCTTTAAATTGTGGTGTTGGTGAAGAATGTGAAATATACCATGAACTGCCAAAAGAACGAATAAATCTGTCTTGGAAGAAGTACAGCCAGAATGCTCCTTAGAAATAAGGATGGCGAGACTACGTCTCACATATTTTGGACATGTTATCAGGAGGGACCAATCCCTGAGAAGGACATCATGCTTTGTAAAGTAGAGGGTCAGCGAAAAAGAGGAAGACCCTCAACACAAGATGGATTGACACAGTGGCTGCAACAATGGGTTTAAGCATAATGATGATTATGAGGATGGAGGAGGACCGGGCAGCATTTCGTTCTGTTGTACATAGGATCGCTATGAGTAGGAACCAACTCAATGGCACCTAGCAACAACAACATTGCCAGTTTCCCAGTGCCTAGAGCTGTGTATACTCTAGGTACTGAATAAACACTTGCAGAATAATGAAATACTTATAAGAAATAGCATATCCTCCATTTTACCTATTTCTGTGGAAATAATTCCCCATCAACAAAAATAAAAGGTTCTGTTCAAAATGACCCAGCATAGATATGAAAAATATTCATGGTGTTTCCTAGGAAAATTCCTGTCCTTTTTCTTTTTTTTAAGCTCCAACCCACAAATGATAGGTTCAGAAACTATGAGTAGTCTCTGGTGGGCCTAATGGAATCCAGGCAAAAGCCCTTGATTATGGGGTGGTGTGTCTTATCAGGGACCTCTCAGTTTTCCAGGGAGTTCCCCCCCACCCTGCTTTTTTTTTTCTCACTGTGGAATCCTCTGATTAAGCTGACATTACCAGAAATAATTATGTCATGCCCAAAAGATCCGTGCAGTAATTTGCTGGTTTGAAGCATACTGCCAGTCCATTAAGGATTTTTTTTTTTTTCAGTACAAATCCTGTTACTTAGGACTCTCTTTACATAGTTTAACAAATACATCAATCAAAAATGCAAACCTGTGTTAGTTCCCTCACTAGTCTCTCTTTTTAAAGAGGGTGAAACATGACTTCAATTAATCAGTTTAGGTGATTTTCTGATTAGGTAATTCAGTATATTAAGATCCCTGGGTGATGCAAATAGTGTGTACTTGTCTACTAACCTAAAAGTTGGTGGTCTGAACCCACACAGTGGTGCTGTGGAAGAAAGGCCTGGCAATCTGCCTCCATAATGATTATAGCCAAGAAAACCCTATGGAGCAGTTCTACTCTGTTAACACATGGGGTCATCATAACTCAGAATCAACTTGAGGGCAATGGGTTTTTTTGGTTTAAATTCAGTATATCAAGATTGTTTTTTTAGAGTGCCTCTTTATGACCAGAGATTGGAATTGGAAATTAGGAAATTAATTGGAAGTGTATCATGTTGAATTTATAAAGATGAAGTTCTGTTTTAAATAGGATACTTGGTTCAAAGTATTTAGATTCTTTGCTGCAAAATTCTATTCCTTTACTATTCCTAGCTTTTGTACCATTCCTTGCAAAAATAACTTCATTCCTTTAATCCTTGGTTCTCTTGGATCTCTGTCAGCAACAATGGCTGCATCATTTTCATCCAAAATCTCTGTTTTTCATCTCTGCCAAGATGGTGAGGGGAAGCAAAGGCACAGAACTTGGCTTTGGTTATATGGGTATTTTTTCATTTCACGGCAGAATTCCAGGGATCTCTCCCTGGGAAAACAGATTGGCCATAAGTGCTAGAAATCAGAAAAATCCAAACTGCCGTGTCTGTGAATGAAATCTACAGTGGTCAGGCCTACACCTGCCAAGCTGTGTATGATGTCCTCAAGTTAAATTTGATTACAAATGCATTAGCAGGGGAGAGTATGTCATCATCTAAGAACTTTCATTCCTGACCTGGGCCATAGGGTTTTGCTCCACACTATTCCAGTTCAGTCCACATGGGTGTGATAGCCCAGAAACTACCTAATTGAAATCAGTGAAAGGGCAAAGCCTGGAATTTGGGAAAGGCAGAACACAGCTGTTCTGAATTACAGAACAGGTTGTCGACTTTTACAGATGAAGAGCCCGACCATATAGAGCAGGCTTTCACTCAGGAGGCCAAGGAAAGCAGGGCCAACGGAGAAGTCTAGCCTGGGAGAACTTTTCTCTAGGGCAAAATGTGTATCTAAAGCCTGAAAGTTCTTTGGCGCCTCAATTATTCCACATGTGTTTGTACTGATCTGGTCAGAGACCTTTCTTTTCTTCTGTTGCTTGGACTACATTTTTATTTAAATAGTTATTGTGCTTAGTGTATTGGACACTGTACTGATAACAAAGATACTTATTACTTCTAATATAGAAGCTTCATATTGCTTCACATTTCTCATCTTTTTAGTTACTGTATCACTTGAAAGACACAAAACCTGGAAGGCTTAAGGAGAACCACTAGAAAGCTTTAAAGGTTAAGCAGATCCACACAAGGTGAAGAGACACTGAGAGAACTCCATGTAACAGCCAAACTTCCACTCTCAACTTGGCAAAAGGAAATCTGAAGCTCAGAGAGAAAACTCCACACTTAACCCTGTTATGTCTCCCTGGAGTTCTGATGCCATTCCAAGTTTTGACAAATACTATGGTGGGTTCAGTTGCTGCAACTGATGCACTCCTGATTCTATTACTTTCCAAAGAAAGATTACTGGAAGAGCTCATGGGATGTTGAACCCTCAGGGAGAATTCTATTTCAGGCTTTCTGATGTTAGAAAAAGGACTAGGAACATATAGAAAATTATTATTGCCATATGAGTTTTATTCTCTTGATCCTTTTCCCTATATAGTCTTTCTTCACCACCTACATTTAATGTTCTATTCTGTTCAGTCTCAACAATGGCCATTAATAAAAGTGTCAATACCAAATATTTATTGTCAACTATGGGCCAGATGCTCTACTATCTCAATTTCTTTTCACACTGTTTCTATTGCGTGTACATTATTATTTTTATTATTTATTATTGTACCCATTTTAAAGAAGAGAAAATGGAACATGCAGAGAATTTAAGTAATTTTCCCGAGTATCCATTGCTGGTAAATGGTGAAACCAAGATTCAAGCCAAAAGGATCTGACTTTCAATCTTCACTATTCAAAGTGTGGTTTGTGGACCAGCAGCATCAGCATCACCTGGGAGCTTGTTAGATATGCAGAATCTCAGGCTCTATCCCCAGACCCCATGGATCAGAACCTACATGTTAACAAAATCCCAGGCACTCTGTAAACACATCAAAGTTTAAGAAGCCCTGCTATGACTGATTACGTACATCTAATCGTTCAGTTGCACTAACATACTCTTCTTCTTAAAACTATCTCTGCCATTCTTATTCCTCATCAGTGTTTAAATTGTTATTCCTTAGATGACAGAGAACCATGGTGAAGCGCTACTGAAGCAACAGCAAGATTTTTGAACAGTAAAAGCAGGCACAACCAACAGGAGTCGGGAAGGCCAAGCTGAGAAGATGGGGATAACTGCAGAGGGGTGAAGACCAGGCCTCTTTTCCAGAGTTAGGGGCTGAAAACCAAACTGACTGTCTCCACGTTATCATGGCTCCCTAAGCCGGAAAACTGGAGTCAGGAGGGAAGAGAAAAACTCCCTGCCCAGGCTACTGAGAAGAAATTATAGTTGATGAGAATATGAGAGATTATTTGGAAAACTCAAGAGATTCACTTAAAATCAGTCATCCTGAGTTAGAGACAGATTTGAATCCATTCCTGCCTCTCAATGCCATAAAGGCAAGCCACACTGTAAAGTACAGATATATCACGGCCTGTTACACTGAGTATCTTTGTTGTGTGTGCATTTTTACATTTTAGCCCGGCTTGAAGAAGTTCTGTTTGATAAGTGAAATGACCTTTATGAATATTTAGGCAAGACAAAGATCTTTATGAAACTGTCCTCTTTCCAGTTGCCATGGAGTTGACTCCAACTCATGGCAAACCCATGTCTGTGGGGGTAGAACTGTGCTCTACAAGGTTTTCAAATGGCTGATTTTTCCAGAAGTAGATCTCCAGGCCTTTCTTCTGAGGTGGTTCTGCACAGACTCAACCTGTCAACCTTTTGGTTAGCAGCCAAGCATGTTAACCATTTGTACACCCAGGGACTCGTATATAATGGTAAATGTATATAGCATTTGCTATGTGTTTGGGTTACAAAACATGGAATCAGCAAAAATCCTTAAAAAAGCAACACCTTAGAAAATGTAGAAAGCTCATCCCTCTGAAAAAAATTTAACAAGAAAATGAAATATCAGTCAAGTTCCTGGCGCCATGGCTGACCCAGCCTTGTGAAGTTGGTCCTTTGCTTTCTGTGTGTGTTACATTTAATATCCCACTGGTCACAGTGCTGGGACATGAAAATGCTACTTTCAAGGCCTATAAGCAGAAGTTGGTCACTCATTGAGGCAAAGGATTTTTTTTTCCCCTTCTAATATCATACAGCAGGAAAAACTGATGTACTTCAAGTTTTGCACAAAAACTCTATTCCTCCTCTGAATTCCACTCCTAGAGCCACTTTTCATTGTATAACAAAGATTCAAACCATTACAAGCTGAGAATGGAAGTACAGCTATAAGCTTAACTGAAGGCCAGAGGGCACCACTCTATTTTGCTAACTGTAAACTCAAACAGAACAGTCATTTGGACTAGCTGTGCAAGACAGAGGTGGGCGCCAGGGAGGCTGCTGAAAACATATACATCAGAATACCGGCACTGACACAATAAGGTACAGTACCTATTGATTTTGGAAGAGACACAGGCAAGCTCTGCCATGCTGAAATAGATCTTGGAAGAAGTTTACCAAACTCTATTTTACCTTCCTTTTAGATGCTTATCAGGAAAGCAGACTAAACCAGCATCTGACAGGGTTCATGAGGCCAGTCTGCCCGGCCCACCTCTGATCCTGAACTCCCTGGGGACAACTCATCTCACAGGAGACTATTTATAAAACATGTTCTGCATCAGGGCATTAATCTGATTAGCTCTTCCCATGGCTCCCCTGATGTCCCCTTGTTCCCTGAACATCTCTTCACAGGTCAGCCTTCTACTACCCAGGCCTTGCTCTTTGTTGCAGGTGGGGATTCACACATGACCACATAGCTGAATATGCACCATGTTTGCAAGCAAGGCAAAAAAACATATTTTCCACACACGTTTTCCCTCATAGCCTTCTTCATATCAATACTGACTTTATATTACTTCCACAACCATTAAAGAAAAAAAATCAAGCATAACCATATTACCTATTACTACACTTCAGAATGCAGTAAAAAAGGGAACAGATGAATTTTGTAGATTGAAAACACAAACTTACACATACAAAGACACACACATCTTAGACAGTGTTTTTCTACCCTATGGAAATAGGAAGTGATCAAAGGACAAAGAATGATTGATACCTTTGGCATGGGGAACTGGCACGCTCCAGAACAATAATAGGCATCAAACGACTTGGGAGAGATAATCCATTCACTCCAGCCAATATCTGCAAAGTCAACTTTGAGGTATCGCCTGGCACAATTCCGAGGTTCAATCCACTGCTTTCTTCTTGCCTTCTTCAGGGTGTGCTCATCAAACTGGAGTGTTTGGCTTTTCTGGTGAGGTCCCTTTCTCTGTTTCTTTTTGGTCTTACTCTTCTCGGGAGGCTGAGTTTGAAGGGTCTTGTAAGACTTTGTCTCCTCCCAGACCCCATCCTCCTTATACTGATATTCTGCCCCAGGAAGCTCATTGCTCTGCAGAGGCAGCAGGACCCCGGTGGAGCGTTTCTTCCTCCGTTCTATAGAAAGGGCAGCCCTGATGTGGCTATCCAGTTGGGGCAAAGCCCCAGTGGGGAACTCCCGGTGTCCCTGTAAGTGTGATACCACACTGTCTGGCTCAGAAATGGCAGCATCATTGGCATACACCAACATATAAGGCTCAGGAAAGGGTGATATCCTCTTTGGCAGCTGGTGTCCTCTGGAGGTAATGTTAATTCCTATGAGGAACTCCTCATTTTCCTTGGCCTTCCTCAGGAGTTGAGTGATGTCTTTAGACAGCCAGGTCATGGTGTCTCCATGAGGTTTGGCTATATTTACGGAAAGATGACCCAGGAGTCGACTTTGGTTTCTGTTGGATTGGAGGATCCATGTGGAGAGATTAATCTGAATGTGTTTCCTGTGAGCGTGATGTGAGCATCCTCTGGTTGTTGGACTACTCAGGCTGATGTTCATTAGCTCTCCAATGTAGAAATACAGTGTGGCAGACAAAATGTTTTCAGACTTGGTTAGAGAAGTCAGGTTGAAAATATGCAATCCCTTGCTTTCGAGGGTTCCTAGGAGGGGGAAAAAAACGCGAGTAAACAGAAGTAATTTTAAAAGCTGGAAAAAGATCAAAGCAAAGATAAGTCATTTTTACTAATTTGCTCTTTCCTTTAGGAAGCACCGTGAATGTGTTGAAGCTGTAACATAGCAGTAAGTTTAGGAATGTGAGAGGTTACAGCTGAGAGCTCTGGCTTTTAATTCTGTGACTAGCAAGACCTGTGTCAACTTGCAAAGTACTATCATAGGTTCTCTCCTAACACAATGTATAGTTTACTGTTTACAAGCATAGGGTTTGAAATTAGACTCACCTTGATTCAAGGGCTGGCTCAATCACTTTTTAACTATGTATCTTTGAGCAAGGAGTGTCCTCATTTATGAAATGCAGATAATACATATCTCCCTGGTGGAGAAGTAGTTAAGAGTTCGGCTACTAACCAAAAGGTCAGCAGTTCAAATCCACCAGCTGCTCCTTGGAAACCCTATGGGGCAGTTATACTCTGTCCTATAGGGTCACTATGGTTTGAATTGACTCGATGGCAATGGTTTTTTTGGTTTTTTTTTGGTTTGTTTATGTCCTTAGAATTAAATGGGTTGTGTGTAAAGCAGTTTACAAAGAGTCCATAAATGTTTCCTAAATACAAATTATTATTATTAGTGCTAGTATCAATTTTATTACAAGGATTATATCTTCTTCTATCTGCCTCACAAGGTTTAGGGGTGGGTAAGCAAGATAATATGTCTCTATATTTTGTGCTTCCCTGAAAAAATGAGCCACACGTTCAAAGTTTCATTTAAAAAAATAATAATGCTGCTGTGGAACTTGTCTGAAGTTTATGACATTCCATGATTTTGAGCCGAGTTTCTTCTATATAATAATGATTATAAACAATCTGTTAATCTTCACTAAACAAAGATCATTAAAGCCGACCAATTATATTTTCCATTGTACAGATCCAGAAATGAGGGACAGTAAGAGAAGACTTATTAGACAGAGGCAGTAAGGTAGAGGTTAGTTGTATCTCCTACGATCATCTCACAAGTTAGTAATAAGGCTGAAGTGAGAACTCAAGCAGCCTCAGTTCTGGGATTGGTCACCAGAGCCCAAGCCCTCCTCCGTGCACTTGTTCCATACACATATTTGCTTCAGAAATACACACGCAATCATGAAATTATGTTCTTGATCAAAAACATATTTCAGTAAAAACAAAACATCTTTATAAAGATGTGGAAACTTAAAATGAGTTCACTGAGTCCCTAAACACAAGAGAAGTGCAATGGGAAACATATTTTATTCATTTTTAACACTGTGTGAAGGAAAAGGAGGAAACTGCCATTTGTGCACATTTGTATAATCCATGACACCAGGATAATATTTTACAGATTTTTATAACAAAGCCATGGCATCAGGGTTGTTTGGAGACTCGAGCCTTAATTCATACCAGTCACCATATCGTATACTTTTACCCAAACGTTGTGTAGCAGATGAAAAGTTAAACTGCAAGAAAGTCACTCTGTTCTAAGTATGCGGCAATCAAGTGGTTGCCAAACAAAGAGAATAAATGAACTCCGAGGGATGGGGTGGCAGTGTCTTAATGGGTAAACCAATCTTGCCCCTTCCCCCCACATTTTGCTTCAAAATGTTTCTTTCAAATACGTTTTTAGACACTTTGTGACCTGCTGTTAACTAGCCCCCATCCCTGAATCTAATCCTCAACATCTTCTCATAAAAGCTTCGAAATCTGCCACACTGCCTTTCTGGATGGCTTTCATTTTAATTCAGTGTGTTATTTTGAGGTCATACCTCTACGCCCAATCATAGCTCCACCAATCCCAACAGTAGACCTCAAGCAAATAACCTCTTTAAGTCTGAGTTTGTTCATCTGTAAAACGAATCCAATAATGCCAGCTGCAGAGTTGCTGTGGGGATTAACTGAAAGAATGCAGGTAAAGCACATAGCACATGGTAAATATTCAAGAAATGTTAGCTAAGTACAACTGCACTGCCTAACATGATAGCAGCTAGCCTCATATGAGCCAACTGAGATATGCTATAAATGTAAAATACACCAGTACACTGGATTTTGAGGGTTTATACCAAAATGAACATAAAATTTCTCATTAATACTTTTTTATTGATTACATGGTGAAATGACAATATTCTAGATATACTGGGTTAAACAGAATATATTATTAAAATTAATTTCACCTATTTCATTTCATATTTTTATATGTGGTTACTAAAAGTTCTAAATTACGTATGTGGCTCACATTATATTTCTGTTAGACAATGGTGGTGCTCTAGAATAACCACTAGTTTTGTAGCCATATAGTCCAAAAGGAAAAAAAAAAATTTCAAATGCAGCAAGATTTTTGCTAAACATGAATATGCAAGCAAAACAGTCAATTGGGCAAAAGATTCCCCTCTTAGTATGCAGCATCTTTTCCTTTATGAAGGACATATTAGATAAAGATAACTTTGGTGATGGCTTTTTAATTTTCCTCCAGCTGTAGCTAACTGTTTCAATCTTCCACCAAAAGTCTAAGACCAACAAACTGCTCTAAAATAGAGCTAAGTGGTCAGTTTAGCAACACTGCTTTATGGCAGAGAAATCGTATACAGTGCCAGTTATGTTATTTCTACATATATTTGCATACTTTTATTATACACACATAAATAAACTACAACCAGTAAAGTTCAGGAAACAAAGAAAAATAAATAGTTTAACAAATATGAACTGAACACCTACTGGGTACCAGACCCTGGCCTGGGTCATGTGGCTAAATGGACTCTGCCACTCACACTCTGAGAGTAGCTATGCCATGATGATTAGGGGGAATCTATGCTCTTGGAACACAGAGGAGAGAGCAAGTAAACTTGTCCATTTACAGGAAATAGGGACACATAGGAAATACAACCAGAGTGCTGCTTAGAAGCAAGGATGGTGAGACTTTGGCTCACTTACTTTGGACATGTCATCAGGAAAGACCAGTTACTAGAAAAGGACAGTATGTTTGGTAAATCAGGCCAGTGAAAATGAGGGAACTCCCCAATGAGACGGATTGACATAACAGCCACAACAATGGACTCAAACATACCAATGATCGTGAAGATGGCGCAGGACCAGACAATGTTTCATTCTATTATCCAAGGGCTGCAGCTGACTCAGTGGAAACTAACAACAGGAAAGAGGTGACTTCTGAGGCAAGCCTTTAAGGATGAAGGGGAAAGGGGATGTTGGGGAAGAGAATGGGAGGAACACATTCTAGCAGTATGCAACGAAGAGTTTCTATATCTAGAAGCTCTTCGTTGTTGTCACGTGCCTTTGAGTCATTTTTGACTCATAGTGACACCATGTAACAGAGAAAAACTGCCCCATAGAGTTTTCTTGGCTGCAATCTTTACAACTGTAATCCATATAACTGGGTCAACAAGCAACATCATGATAAATGGAGAAAATATTGAATTTGTCAAGGATTTCATTTTACTTGGATCCACAATCAACACCCATGGAAGCAGCTGTCAAAAAATCAAATGACGTATTGCATTGGGCAAATCTGCTGCAAAAGACTTCTTTAAAGTGTTGAAAAGCAAACACGTCATTTGGAGGACTAAGGTGCGTCTGACCCAAGCCACGGTATTTTCAATGGCCTCATATGCATGTGAAAGCTGCAAAATGAATAAGGAAGACCAAAGAAGAATTGATGCCTTTGAATTATGGTGTTGGCAAAAAATATTGAGTATACCATGGACTGCCAGAAAAATGAACAAATCTGTCTTGGAAGAGTATAGCCAGAATGCTCCTTAGAAGCAAGGATGGTGAGAATTCCTCTCACATACTTTGGGCATGTTATCAGAAGGGAACCATCCCTGGGGAAGGACACCATGCTTGGTAAGGTAGAAAGTCAGTGAAAAAGAGAAAGACCCTCAATGAGATGGACTGACACAGTGGCTGTAACAATGGGCTCAAATATAACAATGATTGTGAGAATGGTGCAGGCCTGGGCAGTGTTTCATTCTGTTGTACATAGGGTCGCTATGGGTTGGAACCCACTCAGAGGCACCGAACAACAACAACAACCTTTACTGAAGCAGAGCGCCAGGTCTTTCTCCTGAAGAGTGGCTGGGTAGGTTCAAGCCTCCAACCTTTTGGTTAGCATCCCAGTGCTTAACCATTTGAGTCACCTGAGCTCTTCTAGAAGCTCTTACATAAACATTATCTCCAATGTTTCAAATAGAAACTTATAAAAGTATTCTAAGTTAACCTAGTTACTCAAAGTCCTAACAGATGTCTAAGCTACCGAAGGTTAGAAAAGAAATGGCCAATTCACATTTAGCTCGTAAACAAAGGTGTTATATTATGCCCAGGAGCTAATGTGTTTGCTCTTTCCATTCATGCCCTGCTCAGGGAGGCACACTATCTCTGTCTGTTCTAGACTGCCTCATTTTTAACAACAAGCTTAAAGTCTCAACCATTCCACAAAGCATACCTTGATGTCTCTAACTCATACTTTATTTTCTCCTACTTGACCTTAAAGCTTTTTTTTTTCTTTTTTAACATTTTATTGTGGTTTAGGTGAAAGTTTACAGAGCAAATTAGTTTCCTAACCAACAATTTATACTCAGCTTGTTTCGTGATATTGGTTGCAATTCCCTCAATGTGTCAGCATTCTCTCTGCTTCGTCCCTGAGTTCCCCGTTTCCATTCGCCCAGCTTTCCTGCCCCTTTCTGCCTTATGAACTTTGCTTTTGGGCAAATGCTGCCCTTTCCGTCTGGTATGATTGATTGTTCTAAGGTGCACATTACTCACAGGTGTTATTGTTCACTTTATAGGCCTATTTTTTGTCTGTAAGGTGACCTCTGGGAGTGGGTTCAGTTCCAGGTTTGAAGGGTATCTTAAGGACTATAGTCTCAGGGGTTCCACCAGTCTCTATTAGATCAGTAAGTCTCATCTTTTTTATGAATTTGAATTTTGTTCTACATTTTCCCTATTGTGATCCTGGTCAGGGTGGT